CTTCTTTTTGCTTATCTACATTTTCTGCAATGAATGGGTGTATTTTCTGAAATAACATACAGAAGTTTTTTGGTTTTTATTTTAAAGACAGTTGCCTTATAAGATAATGTTATTGCCGCTGAAATAGTTCTTCATTGTGTTTTCTTAGTTTCAGACAACCGCAGCTTAGCACCTCTTCCTCTGGGAAAGGTTCCTGGCCAGGTCAGAGAGACTGTCATGCTGCTCTGTCCCTAAGGCTGCAGGGTTGTTGTTTGTTTCTAAGTTGTCTGTTGGCCATTCATACTCACTGAGCATCCCATATGCTGCCTTCTGTGGGAAAATACAAAGACAGGTATTTGTGGGAAGAAATCAGATGAAGTGGGGACCCCATCAAAAGAAGAATCATGTTTAGCTTCTGAGAGTTTACGAATCCATTTGTCAAAACAAATGTGATGGGGTTCTGCTGCATACAGGGGAAGGCGCTGGGTGCTGCAAGGGGCTTAAGGGAGATCGATGCAGGGCCACTGGCTTCCAGGAGCCTGTGCTCAGGCTGGGAAGGTAAGACTTTGAGTGTGTGAAAAGAATTTTTTAAGAAAAAGAAAGGAAAGTTTAATACAACAACATAAAAGTTATCCCAAGGCTGTGTGGAGTACAGGTGCAGAGTCCTAGCAGGAGGAAGAGACCACTTTTGGGCCTGCGTGGGCTACCAGGACAGCATGAAGTTGGAACGACTTGCGCTGAGAGTGGAAGCTACAAGGCATCTTAAGGCCTGAGTTCAGGAATCCTAGCATGTTAGTTATTTCTGCCACATTCCATTGGTCAAAGCAAGTCACAAGGCCAGCCCAGGTTCAAGGGCAGGGAAATAGCTTCCACCTGGTGATGGGAGGCATGGCAAAGACACATTGCAGAGGGGCATGTCCCAGGGACGTATGATCCATTGAGACCTGTTTGAAACAGCCCAGCACAAAGGCTAATAGTAAAACTTTGTGAACCAAGTACTCCAGGCTTGTATAAAGGAGAGCTTTTGAAAAATTTTTTCTCTCTTACAACTGTTTTCTTATGTGGATAACAAAATGTAACATTATTCCTATTCACATTTAACATAGACAGGTAGCACATATATAGGTGTATGTAGTCTTTCTAGTTTAATATAAAAGTATTATTAATCAATGATTGTTGATTATCAGCTGCTCATATTACTGCTGTCGTTGTTTGTGTTCCGAGCACAAAATGTAAGTATTGTGGACATCCAAGGAGGTGTTTGGTCCACGGAAAGGGCAAGGGCTTTGAGATCAGACTGCTTTGGTTTGGATTCCTGGCTCTGCCACGTCTGGGCTCTAGGACTCTTTCAGCCTTCGTATCTTTATGTTTAACCTGGGGATAATTGCATTTTTCCTGCAAATTTGTTCGTTGTTATTGCTAGTTCTCTGTCTCTTTACTGAAAGGATTTAGCTTTGATTTAGTTTTTAGAAAATTAGCACTTCTGTTTAAAGATTATAACCTGACTTAATTTAGTAGAATGCCCTTTATTTTGTTTTTCATATTTTACGTCAGCCTCTTAGTGGCCCACATTTTTTTAAATAGAAGTGCCGTTGTTACACATTCTCCTCTGAGTTGGCATTTCTAGCACACAGATTCTTTTTTGAGCTGCTTTTTGTAGAATGGAGCATCTCGAGCTTGGACAGACTTGAGTTTCTCAGCAGGGTGTCCATTGTTGGAAAGTGTAAGTGGGCCCCAGGCAGGGAGACCAGCGAGCCTCTGCAGAAGGATGGTCCCCCTTAGCAAGGGAGTCAGTTCAACTCAGTAAGCGTTATTCCCCCCCCCCCAGCAGTTTGGGCTTAATTGCTAAAGACTTAGGCATGAAACTGGGGCATTGTGAAAGGTTTATGATCAATAATTACAAAATAATCTTAATAACGGCTACTATTATTGAGTACTTACTCTGTGCCAGGAACTACGTGCTTTACATGCATTTATCCTCAGAACAACCCTAAGAGGCAGGTGCTATTATTATCCTTATTTTTTTTTACATTTGTTTAATTGAAGTATAGTTGATTTACAGTGTTGTGTTAGTTTCAGGTGTATAGCAAATGATCCAGTCGTATATATATATATTTTATACATTCCTTTTCAGATACTTTTCTGTTATAGGTTATTACAAGATAGTGTATATAGTTCCCTGTGCTGTACAGTAGGTCTTTGTTCTTTATGTTTTATGTATAGTGGTGTGTGTATGTTAATCGCAACTCCTAATTTATCCCTCCCTACCCTGTTCCCCTTTGGTAACCATAGTTTGTTTTCCATGTCTGTGAGACTATTTCTGGTTTGTAAATAAGTTCATTTGTGTCATTTTTTTTTTTTTGGATTCCACATATAAGTGATATCATATGATATTGGTCTTTCTCTAACTTACTATTATCCTCATTTTTAAAACCTAAAAAATGACATAGGAATTTATGAAAGTAGTGTATGTTGTAGAAAGTTACAAATACAGATGGGCAAAAATAAGAAAATGAAAGCATCATATTCCTACTGTTCAGAAAATATTGTGCTTGCTTTGGCAGCACATATACTAAAATCAGAAAATATTAACATCTTATTATGTGAACTTATGAAAATTAAGAAACTTCTTGTCTCCCACCAAGCCTAATTTTTAAGACTATTATCTAAAACCATAAAAAAGAAATTCTTATTTTAGAATGTAGGACTTGAACATTGACCCTTTCTTTTTGTTTGCATCCCTGCTCTACCAATCATAATCACCCCTATCTTTGACAAGTCCAATCGAATGTCAGGGAAGGGCAAAAAAAATAAGCATATGAATGCATAAAACAAATCATTCCATTGTATCAGTTAGCTATTGCTGGGGAACGGCCACAAAATCTCACTGGCATAAACAATAAGAATTTACTCTAGATCACACATCTTTGGCTCAGCGGAAGTGGTTCTTCTTAGGCTACAGGTCTGCAGATCAGCTGAGGTGACTCATTTTGGGGCCCAGGCTAGAGGGTTAATAGCTACCATGGTTTGTTATTCTCATAATGATGGCAGAAGCAAAAATGGACAAGCCCAATTGGGGATAAACTGGACACATATATCCCAGAGGCTAAGTTAGATGTCAAGTCTGAGGTTAAAAGGGTGGAAAAGGGCCCCAAGGCCAAGGCAAGTGTACGGATGTACAACAGTCCTGCAGGGAAGTGAAAAATTAGGACTAATAATTTAATCTACCATACCTCCTTCCATGTTTATACATTTATCCATCTACTCATTATCTATCTTATAAATAAAAACATAAGCACTATATAATATACATATATACACAGACACACAAACAAGATAAAATAACACATATAGCTCTGTGTCAAAATCTTTATGAAACATGAAGATAGGATGGCATGTGGAAGCAAGGGGAACAGCTAAATGTGCTAATGTAACAAACCTGGTGTAAACTGAGAAGAAGGTCTTGGAGAGTGTTCTGCATATTGGAAAACATAGTTAAGAGTAAATAGAAAAGCATTTCAAATCGGAAGGGAGGGATGAATTAGGAGTTTGAGATTAGCAGACACAAACTACTATATACAGAATAGATAAACAACAAGATCAGACTGTATAGCACAGGGAACTACATTGAACAGCTTGTAATAATCTATAATGAAAAAGAATATATATATATATATATGTGTGTGTGTATATATATAGCTGAATCACTATGCTGTACACCAGAAGCTAACACAACATTGTAAATCACCTATACTTCAATAAAAAATAAAAAGCATTTCAGGGACAGGACCAACAGAAATTTGGTGATAAATTGAACACTGGGAACCAGGATGGGGAAATTAGGGTTAAAACAGAGTGAATGAGACGATATTAAAAATGTCTACAATTCTGTGAGCCTAGGGAACTTGGGGAATCATGCTAGCGTTGACCAGAAGGAATTTGTGAAGAGCGACTGGAGGAGAAGAGTTGGTCTTTCCACGGTTAGGCTTCAAGTATCAGCAAACATCAAATTGGTTGTGTTCTCCGGATGATTGGATTTGGTGGTATGGTGACACAGGAGCACTAATTAACTTTCTTTGTTGTCATAGCCTAATGTCTCTTCCAGCTCTTAAATTCATAATCCTTTGACCTTTATTGAGACTTACAGCTGGAGCAATATGAACAAACTATTTCCCCAAGGAGTTTAGAAAGAGAGAAAAGAACAAGACTTGTATGTCCAGAGTCAAATGGTACGTCCTCCATAAACATTCTTGGCCAGCATAGTGTTGTTGTTTTTATTCCTTTTATTCTTCTTTCTGTTTCTTTAGTTTGAGAACCTATATGCTGAATATTCTTCTCTAATCCATCCACAGACTCCACCCACCCCTCTTGTCACACATTTCCATTATGTCCTAGGAAGACATTTGGGAACTTGATCCCTGCTCTAAGGCTTAGGGGTTACTAATTGCTGATGGGAAGGCAGAAAATACTCAAAGAAAACCAGGAAAAGCCAGAGGGAGGTGAGCACAGAGTCGTGAAAGTCGAGATTAAATAACATTTTAAAGAAGCACTAAAATTAGCTGGTTGGTCCAGAAAGCTGAAAACCAAGCTTGTTAAAACCTTTGTTGTTCTTTTACAATTTGACTAGATTTTAAACTCTGCCAAGAGTAGAAACACTATCTTTTCTATATTCTGAAACTTTATCTTGCGGGGAGGTTACAGTGCTATACTCTACAGGTAATTCATCAATTTCAAAAGAAAAAAGGAGGGAAGGGTGTGGACACAGGAAGAAAAAGAGAACGAAGGATTTAAAGTTGCCTCACTCTTCCAAATAATAATAAAGTTCTTGTCTAGAATAATCCAAGTGAAACAGATCTTTTTGCACACTTACCACTTTTCCAGGAGCAATGAGAATGGTGAAGTAGTTTTCCTACGTGTGGATATATTCAAGAAATACTCCTTTTTTTCTTCCCATTAACCATTTTCTCTAGCTCAAATGTCTCTCCTAACAAGTTTTTCTTCTCTTCAAAACCCTTCTGTAGAAATGACTTGTTGATGGTCTGTCGCCAGCTGAATATGGAAGAATCTGTAGCTGAGATCATGAACCAACTGGGCGCAGATGAAAACGGAAAGATTTCCTTTCAGGATTTTACAAGGCGCCGCATGCAGCTCGTCAGAGAAATTAGGAAGGAGGAAGTAGGCCTTTCTGAGAAGTCAGACAACTGCTGTAAAAAGAAGAAGCTGAGGGACAGAATTGCCTCCTGGCCCACAAGCAGCGACAACAGTCTGGGTAGGTACAACCGGGTGACACTTGGATAGTGCACCACGCGCCCTGCTTCATGACCTTCCTGAAAGGGGCTGCCCAGCCCCTGCAGCCTTGTGCCCAGGCTGACTTCTGGACCACACTTGCCCTGGGTGAGCGCTCACTAATCCCCTAGTTCTGTCTTGTGGCCTCACGGTTCCTGGTTTACTGCTTTCTTTGTTTTAGTCCTTCCGTTTCCCACGTGTGATAATTCACGCAGACAGCCATGGGAGAGGCAGGGCAGACTGAGTGGGAAAGGTGGTCGTCGCATCAGCAGGCCTCAGAAACAATTCGGGGACTTATTCAAAGTTTGGTTCAGATCTGCACAGTGAGATTTTTAACCATTTTTTTTTAAGTTTAGTGTTTAAAAATGTTTTTACAAACATAGTTTTCCTGTCCATAAGTATTATTGTTTCCTCCTAATGGAAGATAAGCTATTTAAGAAAAATCTTTGAAATGTTGATAATTATTGAAGCTGAGTGATGGGGATATGGGGTTTATTAATCATCTTTTTAAGCACTCAGATACATATATATATTTAGTATGTTCGTAACTTTCTGCAATAGAAAGTTTAAAAGAAAAGATGCATCTTAAAGGTATAACCTGAACAAAGGGATGCAGCAAAGCGTCTGAATTTTCTACCTATACTTCAGGGAACTTTTTTCCCTTGGAAATGTCTCCAGGATCTCTCTTTGTTTCTTTCTCTGCTAGGAAGATCTAATGGCAAGAAGCTGCATGTTAATTGTCCATCATTTGTTAAATATATACTAATTAGCTTGCATAATTCTATACTGCCCCACCACACACACACACACACACACACACACACAGACACATCCTGAACAGTTATTCCTGGCGAGGTAGGAATTAAGTTTGGGAGCTAATTTATTTATTGAGTAATTAGAAATAAATAAAA